AACTGTACCTGCAGTACCTGCATTTCTTTCTGCTTCTGGCTCTCCTCCTCCTTCCATTCTGTTCATCATAGGTGATCCCATCGCATCTACTTGCAGTGAGTTCATTCCTGGCGCACTACCTTGGTCATCAGGTCCTTGTCCCTGGCTACTTCCTGGTATCATTGTGTCTAATTACACTATGCATGGAGTACAACCGCTCCGCTACGACCATGCGAAAATCCAACAGGACCTGTCACGTACGCGCACGTGACTGTGGTCGCAATTAGATTCTGTTGGATTTTCGCAGCTTGTCTTCTCGTACAGATTTCGACCATTTTCGATTGCGCCACCGTTCGGCTTCAAACATGTCTTGCAACTGTGTCTTCCGCATGACGAGTGAAATTCTCACTCCAACAATTTCCTATCTATCTCTGAGATCAAACTTCCAGAATGCGTTCGACATTTGACTTTTGGACAACATTTCAACCAGAGTCTGGACTGGTTCAGTCTTAGCTTCACTTTTCGCAAAAATGGGGCACTGAAACGATACTTTAATGGAACCTGATCCTTCAAGAATAAATCCAAGGTCCAAGCATCGCAAATTCCATCAAACTTGTCAAATAATACTGAACACCATCGGTTGAAGAGATGTTGATTTTGGTCTTGTCTGGTCCGGCGGGTGTGATTTTTTCTGCTGAATGATCTCATTGGCTTTCGGAAAGTCGACTTTCGGGAAGTCGTTGATTCACTTGGTTGGCACCTCCAGGTTTATTCCTCTAATATGCTGATATGTTCATTAAACAACAATGTAGTATGTATATATATATATATATTTACATATAAATATATATATATACATATATATATACATCATATGAATCATATGTTACACACACATGATTACATGATATACTATTGTTATACTGGATCGCAATGATTGCCCTGTCTTTGTTGGGTCCATGTTGAGTAACCCTGGCTAGGCTTCCCAGCAGTCTTGAAACGCTGACCTTTGGAGAGGATCCTGGGAACCAAAGTATGGAACGGAATGGGAATTATGGACCTGGGAATATCCCTAAGGTTCTGATAAAATGGTGGGTTACTGATGGGATACTCATAACCCTTACCCTCCGATGATTTTGGAACAGTTTGCGAAGTGCAAGCCATGGACGACTTAGTTCGATAAAGCCCTATGCAATTTTCCATGGCAAACTGTCAAATTACCAGGGGCAATCCAATTATGCAAAACTGTTCTAGATGTTTCGATAGGATTTCCCAGAATTTCTATTGCTTAGATGTTTTCTGGATGATGTTCCTGGCTGGGACATTTTCAGATGATTTTCCAATATTTGTTCAGTGGAAAAATGGGCGTGTTTGATTGCCAGAGAGGTACTGGCACTGTTCTCTTTTGTGATGGTTGAGTTTTTTTTTCCGAAAAAAATGGATTGTCAGTGCACCTTTCATGCATCCCGAAAGTTTTGAGATGTTTTATTTCCTCGATAAACTTGAATCTTGAAGTGTATCTCAGGGCTTCAACCAGAGCTTGGAGCATTGCTACCTCCCCTGAAGATTTTTTTTGTATCCGGGAATGCAAGGACCTCGACACACGCAAATTGGCCATTTTGTCAGCCACGCACAAACTGTTGCCCGGGAGGCTTCCGTGCAGCCTTCTGGGAGCCCTCGAAAGACTTATGGTTTGCAGTGGACGAGCTGGTGCACTTCTTGGAATTCCTTCGTCACAAGCATAAGGGTTTGACAAAGGAGCCACGTCTCAACTCATGGTTTTGTGCAATCGGACTGCTGTACATGATTTGCTTCTTCATCATGGCTTCCATCATTCGTGGTACGACGGCATTCGGGTCTCTACTGTTTCCTCGGCGGCTGGCGCGACTGCTCGCATTGCTGTTGTCGTCCAGACGGGTTGTGGGTTCCTCAGCGGTGGGCGCAGAAATGCCACGATCGACGACAAGGAAGATTGCTACGGGCGGGCGACTGTCGCCCTGACCCGAGCAAGTTTCTATGCCTTGCGGCGAGGGGAAATACAATCCCATTGCCCTGCTACCAATGGGGTGTGGATGCCCCCTTGTGCCTCAAGATAGACCCCCTCTAGCGATCGCCATGGTGGTGTACGTGAAATGCACCCGAGTGCTGCGTCGACCGGCTTGTCTTGGCCAACAGGCACAAGCTCAAGTTGGCTGGTAAAGTTGCTGAAACTTTCAGCCCGCACTCCAGACATCATCAACTGACTCTGGGTTTTTTCCTTCCCCTGCCACTCTTGACATATTGTATGGATATGCTACTGATGCACATCGGTCTCCCCTGTGGCTCTGTGCCTCCCACAATGGCCGCGCGATCTTAGTTCATCGCAACAAAGGCACTAAGGTTGATTTTGCACGGGCTGTATCTGACGAGCGTATCCGGGTCATCGATGGGATTTTGTTTTGGTCTCTTGATGCATTATTTGTTTTGGGCTCCCCCCCTTTGCCCCCCTAGACTCCTAACACGGCAGCTTTACGGGTCGGATTGTGTATGTCGCCCGGAGTTCAGTATCATCAGGTTAAAGAATAATAATAGTATATATATATTTAAAACCGGATGAATCCTTTGTTCACATTGGGGGAAGAATTTCGATTTCATCACTCCAGCAGATTCTGTAAGAAGGCTGACATGCAAAATTTTGGTTTTACCACAAACGCCAGTTTTGCTGTCCTTAGTTGCGGAGTCTTGCGGGAGTCGGGCGGAGTCGGTACCCCACCTGCTGAAACCTTATTTACAATGGGGAAAGCGTTGAAAGACTTCCAGCCTTGTGACTCCAGATGACTCCGCAAGAAAGCGCAAGATGCGCAAGATGATGTCATTAAATTGTTCGATTTGTTTCATGCCCGTTTTTGGGGTTGGAAAGGTATATAGAATTTGGACTCCCAAAGGCGGTCCTCCCCAGTATCTTCTTGAACCCTGGGTGTTTTCAGCCAATCCTTGTAGCAGAGCTGTCCTTTTTCGAAAAAGGGGCCAAGTCACAGTCCCTCCTTTCTCTGACATCCTTTGTGTCGTGTTAGTCTCCTAAAAAACTTGGACGGTGCAGGGCTCTCGATGGATTTGATGCCCTTCTCAATGCTCTGACTGCATTTGCCCTCTTTCGCTTGACTTGAAAGCAAAATGAGATGCCGCACGACCACGCACAGACCAGGAGTCCAAACCACAACACCAATGTGAAATCAAAGAGCAACATGGCACGCTCAGCAACGAAAGAAACAGATGTTGACAACAACTTGGACCAAAGCTCCAAGACACAACAGTTGAAGTTATGATCCTCAGCTGCACATCAGGACCATCATCATACCTCAGTTCACAAGAGGACCCCTACAGGATCAAGTTACTTACAAAAATGTTAAGCAGACTCTTACTCCATCCCGTTTTAATTTTATACTATTGATTCATAACGAGATTGACTGAAAAAATGATAATTATAAGGTAAGAAAACTGAACCAGGAAACAGCAAAAAGAATGGTTGGAATAATAGGACCAGGAATGACCCAGGAATTGAAACAGTGGAAAAATTCGCAAAAAATACTGCTAACCATGACCCACGAATTGAAACAGCAAAAAAAGTGGTTGGAGAAATGGGGCCAGGAATGACAAAACATATATTTTGCTGATTTCAGTCTGTGGCTGGCCGATTTCTCATAGTTGTAAAGCAAACCCGGACACTCACCACATGCAGCGCCCAGAGCACAGAACATAAGTCTCACATTTTGCGATGTAACTTGTTCCTTGTGTTGCCAACACCAGAAAAGAAATTACAGGCGGGGCATGCAACCCTGAATTGCACAAAAAAACCCGGCAAAAGACACCAAACAGTGTTGGGGAGTGGGAGGATAGTGATAATGTTGTAGATGATGATGATGAGGATGATAATGTTGCGGAGGATGATGTTGAGGACGAGGATGTTCAGGATGATGAGGTTGCAGGAGTATGATGTTGAGGATAATGAGGTTGAGGATGGTGATGTTGAGGATAATGAGGTTGAGGATGGTGATGTTGAGGATGATGATGTTGAGGAGGAAGAGGATGAGGATGATAATGCGGAAGATGAAGTGGGGGATGATACGGTGGAGGATGATGATGTTAAGAAGAAGGATGCTAATGTTGAGGATGATAGTGTTGATCAGGATGATGAAAAGGATGGTTCTTGTTGATGTTGTGGAAAATGAAATGGAGGTTTATGATGTTGAGGATGATGAGGTCAAGGGGGAGGAAAAAGATGATGTTGAGAATGATGATGTTGAGGAGGAGGAAAATGGTTCTGTTGAGGATGATGATGTTGAGAAAGTGGACCGATCCCAAGACAGGGACCCACACTTTGTGCGAGCCTGCGCCGTCGAGATGCAAGCGCCAGCGTATGCGAAAAAAATCAAGTAAAATTGCCTCAGACCAAGACCGCGACACAGACTTTGTGCGAGCCTGCGCAGTTGAAATGCATTTGGACATTTCACAAGAGCCCCTTAGCGCGAGAAGTTACAGGTAAACTCCCACAGACCAAGACCGCGACCCACACTTTGTGCAAGGTCGCGCAAGTCGAAATGCCTTGGACGTTTCACAAAAGCCATTTTGTGTGAGAATTATCAAGAAAATGCCGGGGCCACGATCGCCGCGCAGACTTTGTTCGAACTTGCGCAGTCGAAACGCACTCGCAAGAGCCCCCGTTGGTGCGAGAATGTACAGGGAAAATGAACAGAATTGTTGCACTCCTACATGTGTTCATTTCATGTCCACGTACAGTTGCACTGCAGTTGATCCATGTCAAAGGACATTTCACTTTCAGCTGCATAGCATGTTTAGGAGCGTTGTGAAATAGATGGATTCCTCAGGCGTCTTTGCATCAAGGAAAATGTTCATGGTAGCGGAGCCCTGTGATCCAGATCCTTTATTCTGGTGAGGGCACCTGAAGCTACCTTGGACTAGGAAACTCCCGTTGTCGTTTAGTTGAGCCATTTGGGTTCTGGTTGCATAGCTTTGCTTGGAGCATGGCTGGTGATGGTGGCGCGTTGGACGTGGCCCAGCTGATACAAGCAGCTACAGACGCTGCTCGTGCTGCTGCTGATGCGGCTGCAGCCCTTAGAGATGTTCAGGCTAGTCGTGGAACTGGTTTGAGTGGAAAGGGGTTTAGTGAAGCCTCAAAAGTCATTAGACAACCTGACCCGTTTGGTTCTGAAAACCACGAAGAAGATCTTAGCAAGTGGCAAGACTTCACAGTGAACTTCAAAGCTTGGTTGTTCTATGGTGATAGTGGTTTTGAAAGTGACCTTCATAGAGTCGAGACCAACTATGCCTCAACTCCAATAGAGTTTCCTAGATCCGAGCCCAATGACGTTCAAGAAAGATGCAAGCAGCTTTTCAACATCCTTACGGGGATACTTCGTGGCAAGCCGTTGCGGCTACTGCGCCAAACTTCTGAGAGAAATAGTTTCGAGGTTTGGAGAAAGTTGGTGCAACTCTTTTCACCAAAGACCAAAAGCAGGTCGATTTCCTTGCTTGCTGCGTTGATGAATATTCCAGCCTTCAGCCTGAAGGACAAAACCCTGATGGACCAGATCTTAGGCCTTGAACGCTTGAGAACTGAATATATGAGATCTTCTGGAACTGATGTGGCTGATGACCTGATGTTGAGCATCCTGGTCAAGTCGTTGCCAAAGGCATTGCAGACCCACATTCAGCTGCAGATGACAGAGCACTCAACGTATGCCCAGGTCAGGGAACTTGTCCTCAGCTACGAGTCAGTGACGACTACATGGAGCGCTGGTCGAATTCATAGTGAACTTGGCATTTTGCCATCCAGCTCTACGGCTTCTTCTCCTGCCTACAATGGCCCTGCCCCCATGGAAATTGACCGGTTTGAGAAAGGCAAGAAGGGCAAAGGCAAGGGAAAGCACAAAAGTAAAGACTCTTCGTTTTCCAAAGGAAAGACTAAGGGTAAGTTTGACAAAGGTAAGGGAAAGAGCAAACAAGATGCTTCAAAGCCACGTGCGGCTACCTCAAGTGATCAGTGTTTACATTTTGGTAAATATGGGCATTTCAAAAGAGACTGTTGGAAGTTGCATGGGAAGCCCACCAATACAAAGAATGTGAATCAAGTTGAAGAGACGCAAAACGCTGGAAGCTCTAGCAGTGGTGCTTCTTCAAGCGCTGCCTCAACAACCATGACCTCAGCTACTGGCTCTGTGCGTTTGCTTTCTTCATATGTTGGCCCCATCATTGAAGAACTTCCCAGCAGTGACGAGCTTGACTTCCGTGACCTTACAATGTATGACAGCTCTGGCCATTGCGTTTTGCGTTAGCTTGCTAATGCTAGTTTATAGTATGAAGGAAAGCGAAGGCATGAGCGGCTTTCAAAAACCTGCCGGGTGTTGAATCTTACAGTCTTTTATGTTTGGATATGTCTCCAAAAGCGCAGACTGTAGCAGAGCTCACGTTGCTCTTTATGTGTTTGAATGTGGAATGCATGTGTCCGTTTGTGTTTTGCATGTGCACGCAATTTCTGTGGATGTTTTTCAAAAAAAATAATATATGTTGTACAAACGGAAACAAATACACCAGTGATATTGACAGATGTCAGTGTGACATGTCAGTGTAGTATCTGTTCACAAGTGAAACAATGCATGTCAATCTTAAATGATGTATGCTCATCTTTTGTTTTACATCTCGAGTGAGGAGGGTGGGTGGGAAACGTGCTATGGTAGCACAGGTAGCACAGGACTGTTTTGTTTCACACCGGCGCGGTGCCATAGTCCGTGGAAGGACTGCAGTTGAAGCCTGGCGTCAGGAGCCACGCAGTGCCACGTGGAGACCCTTTCTTCGCATCGAAGCTGTTTTGACCATTGGATTCATTAGTTTCCTTTTTGGGTGGATCAGCTGCTTCATTTGGCTTTTACTGCCCACGCTGGTACATGAACATTGACGTGCGGTCTGAACACGACTTGGATCGATACGATCAGGTTTTCAGCAATCCTGTGCTTGATACTTTGTTTGGAGTGGACAACGGTAGTGCACTGTTTCTGCAATTTTGTGACACTCACACCATTCTTTGCTTTCGATCTACATTGCTGGAGGTGCGAGATTTCGGCACTGAACAAGAAGCTGCAGAGCATCCTGCGAGGGTTCCGGACCCTCCCTTGGCTTGGTTCACTCCGACACCTGCTGAAGCTGACAGGGGTAATCCATAGCACCGTATCAATTTCTCTTCGCAATGCCTACAATGACTGATGACAATTCGAACAGTTTTGACAGTGATGCGTATGACATACACCTTGCACATGTCTGGTCCAGCAACAAGACCACAGCTTTCACCATGCCCTGGGACAGAACCATGACTACACCATGGCAGGTTTGCAAACGTATGAGGACAGCCTTTCCTGATATGATAAAGTCTGCAATCCCTCCGATGCCTCTTCAACCTGAGCGTGAGACGCCAATGGACGAGGTTGCAACTGACTCTGCTTTCCGAATGGCAGGTCTCAGAGCTGCAAGCAGCATTGACAACCGGCTGTGGTCGGAAAAGCTGTCCTGGGAAAGGAAAGCAGCCTACAAGAAGTGGTCTGCCATCATCCTACATGAGATTGGGGCTTGGGAGATAGCTAGACTGGAGGTCCAGTGCAAAGTCATGGAGTTTGCCCGTGGAGGCCTGCTGGAAAGCATTGCCGACGCCTTGGGAGCAAAGGCAACAGCTACACTGCACAACAGGGCGAGCCCGCTGTTACAATACATCAGTTTTTACAAGGATCGAGGAAAACCCTGCTTGCCTCTCCACGAGTATCAGGTGTATGACTACCTGAAAGCGTGCAACCACAAAGCAGCCTCTTTTCCTAGGTCGCTTTTGATGTCAATCAATTTTGCAGATCACCATTTTGGGCTTCACGGTGCAACTTCCGTGAGAGCATCTGGAAGGATCAAAGGCTTGGTCGACATCCTATACTCTCAGAGGAAAAAGCTGGTGCAAAGGCCACCACTGACTGTGAAGCAAATTCTGCGGCTGGAAGCCATTGTTCACGATGAAAACAGGGCAATTTTTGATCGTTTGGCAAGTGGCTATTTTCTTTTCTTGGTGTACGGGAGGCTTCGCTATTCCGATGGGTTGCAAGTCTCATCCGTGAGCCTTGACCAGAGAGATGATGGTTTTGGGTTTTTGGAGTGCCTCGCAGAGAAAACCAAGACGTCCATCACTTTGGAAAAGAAATCGAGGCACATCCCAATAGCGGTGCCCCTGATGTGCTTGGGAGAGCAGCCCTGGGTGCAGCCTTGGTTGAGACTGAGGGACGAACATGTCCTCCCAGCCCTTGGGGAGTCTCGCAACTCCGTGCCGTTGCTTACAACACCTGCGGTTGGAGGTGGTTGGTCCCGAGTGCCACTGACGGTCACCGCGGCGGCGGGATGGCTCAGGGCTCTTTTACAAGATGTCGAGCCCGAAGGGCCGGTGAGATTGGGCACACATTCATGCAAGGCCAGTTTGCTGTCGATGTGTGCGAAGTACAACATGTCAGGGCACTCACGACGCATACTTGGATACCATAGCGCAGGAACCAAGGAGTCGTCAATGCTGGTGTACAGCCGTGACGCCGCAGCTGGGCCGCTCCGAGACTTGTGCGACATGATGGCCGACATCAAGTCTGGCCATTTTCTGCCTGACGAATCGAGATCTGGGCGGTTCATTGACATGGAGCCCAACCCACCTGCAGAAGATGATGACGGAGGTGAATCATCAAGCACATGCACGGAGAATGAGGAAGAGGTTGACTGTGAAGGCGATGAAGACGCCTGCAAGAAAGTGGTTGGCACTTGCAGCCCGAGAAAGAGTTCGAAGGCGATGGCGCCTTGTATGTCAGAAACAAAATTTCGCGCTGCATACATGTCACAGCAGATGAAGCTGGGGCCGAGTTCAGATGCGGACGCAGAATGTCTGGCAGCTATGAGGTTCTCTCGGCAAAGCCTGCCTTTTTGTCTCCTGCCTGCAACATGTGTTTCAAGGCAGCTTGATGCTTTATGAGTCCTGGAAAAAGAGCCAGCTGATGATGATATCAGTGACGACGCGTCATGGTGAAATGCACACCTGAGGCACATGCATGCCTGGTAATGCACCAAAGATGTCATGTTTTTAAAATTTTTCACAATTTTCCTGGCTCATCAGCGTGGCGAAATGTGCCACTTGTCAAGCGACAGCATGTTCACGAACAGGGCACTGCGAACATGTTCAACCCTGCATTTCAGGTTTCTCTCAGGAAATTGCTTGGAGCTTAATCTCATAGATTTCGGATGTGAGTGCAATACCATGAACCTTTTTGACATGTCACAGTTGTGTCAGTGGAATGTTTTCATGTCATGTCTTTTTCATTTCACTGTTCTGTTTGCTCCCCCGACAAACGTCGCAATGAGTTTTTCAGACAGCGAAGCAGTTTTCTTTCAGAGATGCCGAGAGATTGGATTCGACGAAGACGTCGTCACGAACATGAAGGCCAAACAGTTGACGACAATGTCACGTTTTGCATTTGCTTGCAACTACTCCCCCGCTGGAGTTGATGAATCTCCTCTTGTTGCATTAGCCAAAGAGATATATGGAAAAGATCCCAGCACCATTGAGATGTCCTTTGTCAGACGGATTTTCAATGAGGCATATGTCAATGTTGCTTCAGATATAAAATCAAAAGCAGAATCCACTGACGAAACTCCCATTCGTCGCTTGGCTCCTGCTGAAAGAGCTGAACGACTCAAACAACAGCAGAACCGCCTCAAGGGCATCAACATTGCTGGACCGTTGGAGCCTGGTGACAGCCTTATAGACAAATGCATATCAATATATGAGAGCGACCGTATTCAGTACGTAGCTTGGGAGGTTGCTGTGAGCAGGGAGCATGAGTTGCTTACAGGCTCAAAGAGGGACACTCAATTGACATTTGATGGATCTGGTGTCTTGAAGCTGCAAAAGTCCAGTCATGTTGAACCGTGCAATACAGGCAGTGAGATCCAGGTTAAATACGCGCTGACAAGGCGCGCGCTCGCCTTCGAACAGGCGAATCTGGTCAAGTTTGCCCTGATGGAGGCGTGGTCAGAAAAGATGATGCAAAGTAGGCTTGAGGAACCTAGCACCGGGTTTGCAAGGACCACCATGAAACAGCTTGAGCAAGCCGACAGAAAACTGTTTGTCATTTTGGGTGAGAACACACGAGAGGGAATCAAAGCTACGGCCAATGGACGTCCAATCGATGCTATCTTTGAAAGGTGCATGCAATCTTCAGAGGTTTTGTCATTACTGCAGCCTCGCCCTGTTGCAGCCGGAAAGCCGGAAAGGGAGGCGCCTAAACCTTCCGCTGAGAGACCTTTGAAGAGGCAAAGATTTGATTCCAATGTGAAAGGCGTAAACAAAGGCAAAGGCAAGGGAAAGGGCTCCAACAATGCACGCATTCCACATGAACTTTTGGCATTAGGAGAAGTGTCAGCAGCCACTCCCAAAGGTGTTAGGCTTTGTTTTGGCTACAACCTCAAGCGCTGTCCTCACCCTGTCGACAAGCAAAAGTGTGAACGTGGTTTGCATTGTTGCTGTGTAAAGGGCTGCTATAAGCCCCATCCTGCCTTGGACCACAACAAGGATTGACTCCATGGCAGAGTCGAAGGAGAAACGGACGACAAGGGTTGTACCGATTCCACCAATTCAGGCAGGACCAAAATTTTTGAGGACGCAGAAACTGCTATACGTCTCGAAGAGGACACCAAAATTCAGATTGATGCTTTGTTGCCTGAACCTTCAGGCAATGCGAAGCCTTGCATTTTTCTTGAGTTGTGCGCCGGCAGTGCAAAGTTGTCGGCGGCGGTACGTAGTACAGGCATTCCTGTTGTGCCGATTGATCACCAACACAACAGACATGCACCACGATGTAAGATTTTTCAGCTGGATCTTTCACAACCACATGCTTGGGATCAACTGTTGTTTTTGCTTGACAACTATACTGTTTTGGCATGTCATATTGCCCCTCCTTGCGGCACCTGTAGCCGAGCGCGTGGCATCCCAATGGCTGATGGCGCTCCAGGTCCACAACCGTTACGATCCGAAGAACAGCCGCTGGGTCTGAGTGGGCTCTCATACCATGACCAGATGAGGGTCGATGGAGCAAACGCTTTGTATGACAGACTGGGACAACTTGTTGAAGAACTGCAGAGACGTGCCATCCCTTGGTCAATTGAAAATCCAACAAACTCTTTGATGTGGAATTTACAATTTTTCAGCTTTGCAGTGGTACATGGTGAATGGGTGCACTGTCATGCGTGCGCGTTCGGTGGCACGAGAAAGAAGCTCACTACATTTCTGGTCAGTGATGCGACGTTGGACAATTCCTTGGAACGTTTTTGCCCAGGAGACCATGAACATGAAGGTTGGGGTTTTGACACCAGCACTGGCACTTTCAATACAGCTAAAGAAGCTGAATACCCCGACGAAATGTGTCAAGTCTATGCTGAGATTGTTTCAAAAATTGCTCAAAACCGTGGCGTTGTTGTAGATGATTTCACAGCCAAATCTTCAGCCACGGGCCCACAGACACAGAAACGAGGACGTCGGGTACCTCAAGTGATTCCTGAATTTTTGTGGACTCGCACCATGTTGCTGGAGGCAATACCACCTGTTGACCACAAGAGATGCCTGCTTCAAGCATGCGGGGACATTCCAGCAGGGTGCAAGCTACTCAGAACTGAAGCGAACAAGGGAAAATTTGGAAACTTGTTTTTGTGCGTCTTTGGATGTTTTAGATCAATGCAACAGTTTGTGGAAGCCTCCAAGCAGCTGTGGCATCCTTACGATGAGCTCAAGAACCTACCTGATGCCATGGTCAAGAACTTGTTTTGGTATCTCACTACATCACCTACTGCAGTGACAAAACAGCGCTTGGAGTGCATGACCAGGTGGAAACTTTTGTGCAAGGAACTACAGCCTATGGAGATGCAATTACATGACCAGATGAATGACACTGTGGCCGGCGTCCTTCGTGGGAAGAATATCCTTTTAATGAGACAAATTGCAGAAGAAATCAACTGGCCGGACACAGAACTTTTTGATGAAATGGTTCAAGGTTTCAAACTCACCGGCAACTTCGGTGCTTGTGGCGTTTTCAAACCTCAGGTGAATATTCCAACGCTGTCGGTTGAACAACTGAATAAGAATACGAAGCATCTCAGGCCTACCATATTGGGCAGAATGAAACTTACTGCGTGTGATGATCTACAAGATGAACTTCTGCAAGTGACTACGTCTGAACAAGAAAAAGGGTGGTTGGATGGGCCATACTCCACCAAGCAGATAGCCGACATGCTTGGACAGGATTGGTTGCCTGTTCGTCGTTTTGGAGTGCGTCAGAAGAACAAGACACGACCAATAGACGACTTCCGTGAAAACACCTTGAATCAAACTTTTGGATCGGTGGAGAAGCCTGAGTTGAGGGCCATGGACCACGTGCTGTGGGCGCTGGTGACCCTTGCGCAATATTTCACTTTCCATGAATACATTTCCTTTTCTTTGAGTGATGGCACCGTGTTGAACGGTGAGGTGCATGCTGACTGGAAGAAGCTGAAACCTATTTTCAAAACTACTTGCGTGGATTTGCAGAGTGCATACAAGCAACTGGCAGTCGCCCCTGCGGAACACAAACGTACGGTGGTGACTTTGTGGGACAGAGACAAAAGAGAACCTGCATGTTATGTGTCCCGAGTTTTGCCGTTTGGGGCCTCGGCCAGTGTGCACCACTTCCTTAGAGTCAGCGCCTTCCTACACGCTGCTGGTCTGCGCATGGGCCTGTGTTGGGCCGCTTACTTCGATGACTTTGCAGTCCTTACGCATGAGTGCCATGAGAAAAGTTCTTTACATGCAGCCCTGGGCCTTTTTGACATACTTGGTTTCCAATACAGTGCGGATAAATTATCTCCTTTCTCAGATGTCACTGAGTTGCTTGGTGTGGAGATCGACTTGACAGAAGTGACAGGTGGTTTCGTAAAAGTTCAGAATAAGAAATCACGTGTTGACGAAACGGTTGAATTTTTGGAAAAGATGCTTGCTGAACGATTTTTGGTGGTGAGCGAAATGCCTAGCAAGCTTGGAAAACTGCAATACGCCGAAGCCCAGTTGTGGGGAAGAACAGGCAGGTTGGCGCTTGCTGACTTACGAAGAGCAACGAGTCTGGGCAAAGACCAAGTTACAATCGATGACAGAGCCTGCAAGGCGATCCAACTTTTGCTTCATAGATTGTCCTGTGGAAAACCCAGAACTTTGAGAATATCCAAAAAGAGCAAGCCGGTCATCCTTTTCACTGACGGATCCCTTGAGACTGAGCATGGCAGTGCGGTCGCCCGCATTGGAGGCGTTTGCATTTCGGCTGAAGGAACTTTCGTTTTTGGAGCAAGGGTTCCCGACGAGCTTCTAGACCTGTGGAGAGAACATGGTGAAAAGGAGCACGTCATAGGCCTTGTCGAACTTTACGCAGTCCTCGTTGCCATGAACACTTGGTCTCATTTGATCACTGGTGAACGACTTCTGATTTTTGTTGATAACTGGCCGGTCGTTGACGCACTCGTGAAAGGTGTATCAACTCAGATGACTTGGCGAGACATGCTTATGGTTTTTGAAGAGTTGGATGAAAAACAACAATCCCTGCATTGGGTGGGACGAGTGCCGTCAGCTAGCAACCCGGCTGACCCACCAAGCAGGGGCACCTTAGCAGGGCTGGAATTTTTGAGACCTTTTTCGACTTGCGAAGGCAAGTGTCCCATCACGCTCAAACAACTCCAGTCAATTGTGAAAGAATGCAGCTGAAGCAGAAAGGGGAATCGTAAGGTCAATGCAGACCAAACCTTGGAAGTGCAACCATGTGTAATTTCTTGGGTCATGCCACCCATCTCACAACCAGTGAGGAATGTCAAATTCGAATCCCCCGATCTGCGCAGAGAAAAGTGAATGAGCGTGAGTCAATCATTTTTGCACAGTGAATCCATGTCGTTTGATGTTTGCAGTTTTTGTGATGTTTTTGTCTTGTGATGTTTTTTTCTTGGAACCTCCACACGTGCGTCAACGAACAACTTCAACGACGACGTATGGCGTATATATATATGAGACGTACACACTCATATTGTAATATATGAATACTTAGATGTATGTGTAAAATAGATGCGATCGAGAATGAAACTGCCCCAAGGCGCTTGATAGGTTTGTATGCATCGTTGCGCATATGTCATTTGAGTTCATGCTTTACTCGCCCTGGATGTTTCTGAACAATGCTAACTGAGCGTGCTCTCGTTGTCACCCTTTTGGTTTTTGAAAGATCCTTCAAGCTATAAAACGTTGTTTCATGTGCTGAAATTTCACCCGTAGATGACTTGAACCATGTCGAGGAAGCATACATGTGCGCTTGTACTCACTTTGACATGTCATGCACTGATGATGATGGTATTTGGACGTTTTGTGACAGTTATTGCATTGACCTTTCACCTGCCAGCCATTCTTCTTTCGACTGCATTCGAGCTGTCGGCAACCTGACTGACAGCAGCGTGGAGGTGGTGATTGACTCGGGAGCTGATGGTTCAGTTCTGCCCTTAGAATATGCTGCAATAGGTCACAAAGATCCAACCTTTGACAAGTCTTCTTCTTTCATTGATGCTCAGGGCAAGCCAATATCAGTGAGGGAAGCTCGAATAGCTGAAGTGCAATTTGGTTCAGTCGTTTTCAAAGAGCGGTTTATCATAGCGCCAGTTACTTCACCACTTATTTCAATGGGTCGTCTTCTCAGAGATGGATGGTGTCTTCAAAATTCTGGTGATTCAATGTTTCTGGTGAGAAATGGCAAGAGCATTCCAGTCCACTTCAAGCGTAATTCTTTGTGTGCACATGGTGTAATCAGAATGTTGAGCAACATGGATAGCAGTCCAGTTGAACATGTCAGGGCAGTTGTTTTGGGCGAAAGCCTTGCTGGTTTACAACGTGGATGGATAAGGCTGAGTGATTCTGTTTATGGTTTGAGAAGCGTGTCACCTCAACATGTTGACACGACGTATTGCCCCAGTGAGTCATTGATGTGGCTTAGAACAAAGTTGGTGCGTTTTGCAGATGGCACCTGGGAACTGGAGGAATTTTCTCAGAGCATTTCAGACCTTTCTTCACGTGTTATTCCTTTTCAAACTGCAAAACCGGTTGTGGAGGTGATCACACTTGCGCATGATGCCATGGTACCACCAGAGGCTTTGGGTTTCAGTGTTCATGATGATGTGGTGATGCCAGCAAACTTTCCATTGAGATCATCCTCACAATCCCATTCTTCTTCCTCTGCATCAGCGCCTGCTGCTGCTGCCCCTGTCAGGCCCAACGTGGAGCCACCAGATGAGTTGCCAGCGGCTGCAGAAGAAGCTGAGTTACCAGTTGCAGAGAGACCAGATGTGGACTACAAGTCTGTGATGGTTGATGGTGTCAAGCTAGATAGCAATACTCCCCTGCGTACTTTGAGAGGTGCTTGTGAAAGCCTTGGACTCTCCAAAACTGGTGGAAAGGCAGTATGTTTGGAGCGTTTGTGGAAACATTTAGAAAGTCAAGAGCTTATTGCTGCTCATTCTGCACACCGTGATTTGCGAGGTGATGTTTCCAGACCTGTCCATGGACAACCAGTCCCTGCAGAACCAAGTGACGCTGAAAAGGCAGAGCACTATCTCACGCACTATCCCTTTGCCAAGTGGTGTGAACTTTGTGTTGCAAATCGATCACAACAAGATGGTCATTCTGAACAACATCACACTGAAACTGCACATAGCTGTATTTCTTTTGATTTTGGTTATGCAAGTAGAAGGGATGATGATGACAAGTTGTGCGCTTTATTTATTCATGACAGGAGTTCAGGGGCTATGCATGTGGTACCAACGCCACAGAAGGGAGGCCGATACCTCAACTATTTATGCACTGAATTTTGTCGTTTCATTGTTTGGTGTGGCAATGATACAATAGCACTCAAATGCGATCAAGAACCTTCAACACTTTCACTTCTTGAGGCCGTGAAGAAGACATGTAGATGTTTGGGGATCAGAGTTTTGACTGAAACGGTTGGACCCTCAAGTCATGCTTCAAATGGTGCTGCAGAAGTTACAGTAAAACTGGTAAGACAACAGGCCAATTTACTCATCCAGCAGGTCGAACAAGGTGTTGGCATAACTGATGTGATTGGATGCCAGCATCCACTCTATGCATGGGCCCTACTTCATGCGTGTTTTCTGCATAATCGGTATGTGGTTCGTCAAGGTCATACTGCTTATGAGTTGTGTGCTGACCGAGCATACACAGGACGTTTGGCTATGTTTGGAGAAACCGTTTTGGGTTTCCTGAAACAGACACACAAGGGTGCACCTCAGTGGACCAAAGGCGTGTGGTTGGGAAAGACTTTGAGCAATGACGTTCACATCATTGCCATACCTGGTGCTCAGCAGTTGTTTGTCACAAGAAGCGTTAGACGCTTGCCTGCCTCAAAGGCATGGAATGGAGAGATGATTGGAGGTGTTGAGGCGTGTCCATGGCAGTTTAGTTATGCCTCTTTAGGCTCTCAACTTGTCCTTGCAAAACGTATAGCTCCTCCTACTGCATCTCCTTTGACTCCTGCACCAGTGAGAGACTTTGATGCTGAGGCAGTTATGAACTTGCCTCCAACACCAGATGAAAGACCACATGTACCACGTTTGGTTGCGCCACCACAAAGTGCTGTTGTTGCAGGTGATACAGTTGGTGATGAAACTATGGAAGTGACAGCTGAGGCGGGGGTTTCAACAGCGCTTGGAGCAGCTGTTCCACAAACCCCACATGATGTTCAACAAAGTGATCCTGCTTCAGGTTCATCTCTGAGAGATGCACCTTTGGGAGCAGAGACGTCAGCTGTTGTCCACCCTAGAGATGGTGGAGATGAGTCAGAAAGACCTTCAAAACACCAACGTATACTTGCTGTCTTTGAACACGAGGACCAGCCAAATGAAACGCAGTTCGACAGTGAGGACCTTGATGCGCTTGAGTCCTATGACTTTGACTTAGATGAAACTGATGACTCTAGTCATACTGATGCAGAACTTCTGGAACAGTTGTGTCTTCCCTTCTCTACTTTGGAACCTTCTCTTCCTGACCATGAGCTGTTGCGGTTGGACCTCATTGCCGACCAGTTGGAAATCAAACGTCTCAGGAAAATGGGAGTTTTGATCCCTGCCAATGAGTTTGACTTCAAGGGTGAGAAGCCCAAAATGTTGACCACTAGGATGGTAAGAACTTGGCGTGACAAGACTTTGAATGGTCAAAGAGTTTGGCTTAGGAGATCAAGGTATGTTGCACGAGAGTTTGCATGGCTATCTCCAGATCGTCAAGATCTTTTCAGCCCAGCTTCTTCAGTTTTGACTGTGAGGTTGCTGCCGTGCCTCTACATGAAATGGAAACCTATGGGTTACGTGCTATGCTCAATCGACATTGGTGATGCCTTTCTTACTGTGGAGCAAAAGGAATTGACAGAAGTTGTTTGTGTTGATGCCGCAGGTGCTTCAACCACGTACGTCTTGGGACGTGTTCTACCTGGACAACGGAATGGCTCTCAGATGTGGCATGAGTCTTTTAGCAGATTCTTGCAGACCGAGCTGAAGATCTATGAGTGTGAGCCGTACCCATGCTTGCTGAAGTCACCCAATGCTGAGTGTGCTCTACTACTTCATGTTGATGATGTTTTATGCCTTGCACACCATGAATACTTGCGTAATGTGCTGGAACCTGCGTTGAGAAAGAGATACAAAATCTCTTTGGAGGTACTTGGAAAGCCTGGAGATGAGTTGACCTTCTTGAAAAGGAGGCACATGCTTTTGAGTGAACGTGAGTTGGCTATTCAAAGCCATCCCAAACACTTGGAAAAGCTTTTCGAGATGATGAAAATCAACAAAGGCCTGAAGCCGAAACAAGTGCCAGTCCACCAATTGCTGGATGAACCAGACGAAACGGAGGAATTGCCACCGGACAAGGCCAAGACTTTTAGGTCATGCATTGGCATCTTGCTTTACATTGCCAGTGACTTTGTCGAGTGCCAGTACGCAATCAGAGGGTTAGCACAGGTGATGTCAAAACCAACTGTGCAGGCCTTCATATGCCTGCGCCACCTTTGCCTGTACCTCTTGGGTTGTGTCGACCAATGCACTGTGATGACCTACAATGACCACCAAGGATTGTTGCACTACACGCCAACTGAGTACACCATGGAAGTTTATTCAGACTCAGATTGGGCAAAACATAGAAGTACACGCAAGAGCGTTTCTTCAGGTCACATATGTCTCTTTGGCAACCTCTTGTACTCCAGCTCGAGGACCCAGAAAACGATAGCACTGTCTTCAGCAGAAGCGGAAATCTATGCCGGTGTTTCAGCATGTTGTGATGGAAAACTTATGCAAGCCTGCATCCAATTTTTGTTGGATGATGGCATCAAGGTGGAGTTCACGCTGAACTTGGACAACTCTGCTGCCAAGGCCTTCTTCTTTCGCTCAGGCGTTGGGCGAATCAGACATATTAGTGTTAGAGTTCTTTGGTTACAACGCGAAGTCAAACTTGGTTTGATTGCCCCTTCAACAGTGTCAACACGAGACAACACTGCAGACCTTGGGACCAAAAGACTGAATAGGGACAGAATGCGATATCTCATGAACCTTTGCAAAGTATATGATTTATCACAATCTACATATGTTGGACAAGAAACAGTTGACAAGGTCCACCAAGCGGAAGCCATGTCAGAAGGTATCAGGTTACTCAGAAACAATGGTTTGAAAACTGGTGCGGCCAAGTCAATTATGCGAGTTCTTTTGCTTGGCGCCTTGGGTCTGCCCTGTGAAGCTATGAGCTCAGCTTCCATTGGGGATGGTGGCTATGGAACTTTCGCTACCTTTGCAGTTTATGTGACAGTGATCTGTCTGGTCGCTGGTATTTCTTTTTACCTTGGGACACAGTTTGACTTGCTGAAGGACGAATATAGGCGTCTTGTGGTCAGCCAGAACCTCAAGAAAGTTTTGAAGTTGCTCAAGCGTGCGCAGTCGCGCATGGCAGGAAACCAAGAGACTGATGAGAGCGAGTCTGTTGGAGAAAATGATGAAGAAGAAATGATTGAGACGGATGCAGAAGTCGAGGCCAGATACAAATCATCAGAGCTTTGTGAAGTTTCAGATCCTGAACTGTGGATGCACTTCAATCATGGTGAATCCCCTCTCTCCTCTTCCAATGCTTCTGAGGATCAACCTACTGGCCACAGTGAAGCTTCTTTGCACCAGCAAATGGCCGAGACGAATGCTTTGCTTCTTGCTCGTGAACAAAGACTTGAAGCTGAATGGGATGAAGCTGAGATGCGCAATGATCGAGAGACCATGCATGAGATCGAAAACATGATCATCGAGACCCGCAACTTGCGCTACAGCATCTAGTGGCGATGCAATCAAAGCATGAGTCTTGCAAAATGCCGTGACAGTCCTTCAGAACTTGTCAATCTACCTTGGATGACTGAGTTAGACCGTCTAGAGTTTTTGTAAAGTACAATTGAGGAAGTTTGGATGAACCAGCCCGTTGCAATATGGCTTTGTAGACAGCCATTGGTTCATTTCAATTCAATTCATTTCAGTTCTTCACTAACGCTTGAACTGAGGCGGAGTGAACAGAATTGTTGCACTCCTACATGTGTTCATTTCATGTCCACGTACAGTTGCACTGCAGTTGATCCATGTCAAAGGACATTTCACTTTCAGCTGCATAGCATGTTTAGGAGCGTCGTGAAATAGATGGATTCCTCAGGCGTCTTTGCATCAAGGAAAATGTTCAGAAAATGCCACAGACCAAGGCCGCTGACGACACTTGGTACGAGCCGGCGCAGTCGAAATGCGCATGGACGTTGCACAAAAACAATTTTACGCGAATTTACAGGTAAAATGTCGCAGACCAAGACCGCGACATAGAAAATTGTGCGAGGCTGCGTCGTCGAAATGCATTTGGACATTTCACAAGAGCCATTTTGCGCAAAAAAATACAGGCAAAATGCCGCAGACCAAGACCGCTGAGGATACTTTGTGCGAGCCTTGGCAGTCGAAATGCACTTGGACGTTTTGCAAGAGCTCCCTTTTGTGCGAGAATTGACAGGTAAAATGCTGCAGACCAAGGCCCCTGACCAAACTTTGTGCGAGCCTGCGCAATCGAAATGCGCTTGGATGTTTTAGAAGAGCCATTTTGCGCGAAAATTTTCAAGTAAAATGGCGCAGTTTGTGCGAGCCTGCGTGGTCGAAATGCAATTGGACATTTTACAAAAACCATTTCACGGGAAAATTTGCAGCTAAAATGCCGGAACCCAGGTGGATCACCCTGATCGAGCACTGGGGTTACTCTTTCCGTAAGAACCGGTCAGTGTGGATACACTGTTTGGGGAACAGCCACCCTGCACCAATTGCACGATGTTTTTCACTCACGGCAGCGACGGCAGCTGTCAATTTTTTTTTTTTGCAACGTTTTCGCAATGCGCATGGAGTTTTGGACCAGGCGGCTAACGGTTGCAAACGGTTGTGGGTGGTTGCCGCAAAACAAGGTTTCTGGCCCAAAACGACGTGGAGAGTAACGTGTTCCAAACGCTACACATCAAGTTAAGTGGGGTTTCGACACCACATGCGGAGTAAACATATTTTTACACGGTATTGATGTGTTTGACTGACACATTTCCTTTTTGTGGGCTGCTGATAGGCTCTGCATGGAAACTGGCAGCATGTTCCGCATCATCCATGACAGAAGGTCGGCCAAAATTTGCATTGATGCACAACATGAATGTGTTGATCAAACATGAAACCTTTGAAATTTGAAACTTTTGAACTTCGAACATGTTTTAATTTTGAAGCAAACCGTCCTGAACATGTACGATTGTTGACAATTTTTTGCAGTTTTGCAGTGAATCATCAACACATTTTTTTGATCCGCCGTGTTTTCATCTCTCACTGATGATCCAATTTCTTTCAGTTTCCCAGTCCTTCGTTCGAATTCGTAGCGGCATAAAAATATGCAAGTACCTGGAAAAAACAACGCTGCAGACCGTTTTGCATGCATCAACTATCTAATATGAGTAAACAAATAGTTTCGTTCATATAATCGTCAAAATAAACAGTGTTTTGGTGATGAATTCTCACGTGTTTGCCATGATCAATGCAATGAACCGTTTGAAATCTCATTTCACCTCGATTTGTGTAAATGTCTTAAAACATGCCGTTTGGTCCCATTCGTTCCATTTGATCCAGCCATGCGATTTTCATGCGCTGTCCATTTGCCAAAAAACTGGGGCAAAAACGGAGGTGAACAGCAGCAGCAGCAGCAGCGGCGTGTTGGTTGGTTTGAACGGTGTTTTTACCCAAACAGCATTCAAAACCACAATTGGAAATACTATGCGTTCTAATACATCTGACTTGTTCAGCGAGTTGTCAGTCTTGCAAACATCGTGTCACTTTTACATTTCCAATTGGTTTGTCAGGGCGTTCGACAGCTAGATTCAACACGTGTTGATTTTTTTCCGAAAAGTGCAATGCGTTCGCCTTATCCAATTAGGGGTAGAATCCGCCGAACAGCAACTAACAGTGCCGTTTATTTTTAATTGTGATGCGTGGTGTTTGGAACGTGAGGTGCTTTGCCACTCCCTTGGGCCGTCATGTCAGAAATGCGGTTCAGGTGCTTGTTTTTTTTCGATTTCTGTGGGAATGTGTTGGAATCAACTAGAGAATATGATGCCAAAAGTTGGGGCGTTAGTTCATTTGTGTGTTTGCGCCAGATGCAGAGTGATGGATTTGTTTTTTTGCAACCTTATTCATATGTGAATTTCAACAGAATTGTACAATGGGTTTTGTCTTGCCGAATATCAAACACATTTTCCAAGTAAAACAAACATCATCGCGGCCTTTTAAGATATGAATCAATTGTTTTTTCCATCATGTGTGCACGAGAAACACATGTGGCTTTGTGGTCGCAATTCGTGTATATTGATTAGTGAATTGCAACAATTTTGTGGTTTCTTCATGTCTGGATTTTTTGTCATTTTACTGGGATAGTTTCACGGCTTAGCGTTCTTTCCAGAATTGTTATTGGATGGCGGATTGGGGTCAGTTATTGTTGGATTGCCAGGTGCGCCGATTGCCAGGATCCAAAGATGCGGAACGCGCGGACGCTGGGCCCCTTAACCTGAGTGTGGAGTGATAGATGCTTTCAGTTGACCCACAACATATGCTGGAATGCCGTTGGTTGGTTTGTATTCGCATTACATTGGTATGAACTCATCTTATAATACCCACTCGGTTTATGTGAGGGCTCAATCTTGCATGCTATTCAGAGGAACAATTTTACACAGATCTAGTCTTGCAGCATTCCAGACTTGGCCTTTCCATAGGTGCCCTTGTCGTTTTGCAATTTTTTCAACAATTGCAGGACTGGAACGCGGGCATCACCGCCCTGGGCCGCAAGCAGAAATGGCAAGCTGCTCTGGCCACGGCTGAGGGGATGGAGCGCAGGTGCCTTGCAATCCAGATGGGATTCTGCACAGATCTATGGTCTGCAAAGCTGCCTTGTTTGCATCTCTTGCTTTTGCACTTTTTGGACTCAAAGCACAGCTCAGCGAGGTGCCAAATTCCATGGGATGAGTTCACCTTCTGTGCTCTCATTGCGGCTTGCTCAAGTGCATCACTTCCAGGTGCATGGGGAGTGCAACTGTGAATCTTTCAACGGTTGAGGTCGAGCCCAGCTGGCACCGTTCATGACAGGAAAGGCTATGCAGTTGCTGGAGTCGATGCCAGCACGGCAAGTGGTGCCCAATGCCTTCATCATGGGTGCAGCTGCCGCAGCCTGTAGGGAAGCCAAAGGATGTACGGTCACCATGGTGGTTTCTCATACTCCTATGCGGCAGTACACGTTTGTAGACACAAATGTGATCAAATGTGTGTACAATAACCCACTTCCTGGTCCCCAAGTCCCCCCTACCCCCCCCATGTCCCCTAAAAAGATAAACCCCAAATGGTTGTTGATGTACATGAAGATGTGTCCTTCATTCCTTCATTCCTCCATTCATTCATTCATTCCATTTCATTTCATTTCAATTCAATTCAATTCAATTCAATTCATTCATTCATTCTTTCAGTTCAGTTCAGTTCAAATTCAGTTCAATTCAATTCAATGGTCCATCCATTTTCTTCAGCGTATTTATTTAAATTCACCTCTTTCCAGCTCACCAACAATTGCTATAAGCAAACTGGTTCCTATAGCCGCCATGTCCTATTTTTGAAACTTCCGCCCCAACGCGTGCCAGGCACTACCTGGTAAGAATATACTATGCTGGTATAATGTAGAATGTATAATCTATAGTGTATAAATGTGTATAGTAATGCAATATTATGTATAATATGTATACTGGTTTGTGCTGCAGTGTTTGCAGCAATATATAGATTCTGCAACAGCAGGCACAGGTCTGCCAACGGCCCATCCCTCATTTGATAACATGAACATGTCCAAGAAGCATGGTGTAGTGTTTTCACCCAGCTTGCGACCTGGTAATCCAGCAGCATCCAGTGATATCCAGTGGATCTCATGGGACTCCCTAAGGCGTCCGCGGACAGAGGTGGCAACAGGGTTTGGATCTCCTCACGGTGACAATGCCTAGATTGAAACTTCGTCAAACTACGGTGGCTCAGCTGACTTTTTCACGGGATGTCATGTGTGCCATGGCCAGTTGGGATGTTGGAGGTCATGGGATATTTCAGGGAAGTTAGCATCGGACCAGGGCCATGGCCACCATGGTCGTGCATGGCCAGGGTGTTCTGGCAAGGTGACGTATGGAACGGCAGTCAATGCTTGTGCTGCGGCAGCTCTCTGGGATCCTTTGCTGAGATTTTCGTGATTTCAACCGGAGACTAAGAACATCCCTTGGCCCTCGGCTGTTGATAGTGCGGGTATAAGTAGCAAATTTAGCAGTATTTTAGGACATGAAATGAATATACATAAAGAATTACTGAGTGGTATTTTTTGACTGACAAAAGAAACACTGATAGTTTATACTTGGTAGCCCACCATTCATGGCTGGTATCCATGATCTTTGTCTTGCTACTGTATCTCTCAGGAGAATTCATTGGTCTTGCTACAAGAGCTTTACACTGAGAGGCTTCAAGTCAGTGTGTCGGTCTCAGCGTTGTGCAGGTTACGCAAGGATTGAACCTTTCTTTGCTAATGATGAGGTTATTTGAGGAACGGAACCAACTGTGATAATTTTCTGCACTTAGAAAGGTATGACGGTATAACTTCATCCATCGTCACCAGACTGGCTGGCAGAGCTGTTGAGCTTCCTGAGAGCTGTTTGCTAAATGATGGGTCAATTACGTGACCATCTTTCTGGGGGATGAACATCCGTATAGTTGCCAGCTATTTTGGTGTGAACAGCAGGGTACAAGGAACAGAGACCCACCTGGGTACCCTGTCCACCTTCAGGGTACCCCAGTCTTTCTGGGTCATATTCCATAAAAGGGTGGCAGATTCTTCCCAAGTTCGGGGCCCAGCCCAACAGTGCCCTACCGGGGCGGTTTGTCCGGGTCAGGTGGTGTTGCTGAACAGCGTCATGCGCAGCTGCGAGCGCGCGAGCCGCTGGCTGGAAACCTTGCAGTTGCTGAGTGCAGCGGAGGTGGGGTCTGATGAGGTGAGCGACTTGGTGACGATTGGGGGGATGGACGCTCACGGGGGTTATACTATCCAATATCTTGGGGATTATTAGAATTCATTGGGGTTAAATGTACGTACTATACATGTGATTTAGGGGACTGTGACAAAACGCCCATTTATGGTCATAGTGGGGCTGATTTATAATTGGGTTTACTGTACCAGATTACGAGCTTTCATCACATATTTCAAAGGGGTTTTATAGACTTTTTGGAGGGATTGAGGAGGTGGGGATATGGGGATGGGGAGATGGAAGTCTAAGATGGAGGACCTTCTGAAAAAAATATACCACGGCATCATGAAGTTTGGTGGGAAATTGGGGGATAGACCACCAATTCATTGAAAGTTTTCAACCGTGACAGTCACAGGCGGTGGATGACCAATAGAATTGTTGGCTGGCCCAAAATATGCTGGTGGGGCTGATCCTCAAAATGAACACTTTCATAGGCGAAGTCTTGAAACCAACATGGTGAGCTCATTGGTACCAAAAATGGTGATGAAAAACTGTTCCATATGATTGGTGGCCTTCCCCGTAAATCCTTGATACCGGTCCGAAAATGGGGCATGGGGCCCCAAAAAATACGGCCATAAGATGATGGAATGCATCCGATTTTGGGACAAACCAGAACGTCACTGGTGTTTGGTGTGTTGGTGAAACATATACATATACATATATATATATTTTACTTAGAACCGTTTCGGCTTGGTTGCATTTGTTTTTGGGAGTTTCTGTTGCGCGTTTGCCGTCGGCTGCAATCGTCTCATGGCCTTGTGCTGGTGTCCCCAGCCCACTTGTGCAGGCTATCTTAGGATGATTTCACATGGGATTAAAGTATTAGAGCTTTCTAACGTAGTTTCCTACCATGATTCGATTCCGATTTGTTTTTGACAACTTGCGTGTTTGTCTAGCCCCTAAAGTTTTTTCAGACAAGCAGGATGAGTAGTTTCACATGTACGGAATCCCCACTTTAAAGGTTGCGACCGTTACTATTATTTAGTTGACCATGTGGTATAAATATGGCACGCTAGTCCACTGGGCTTCTTATCATTGAATCACTTGCAAGGCTGGAGCTGCGCGATGCAATCCTGTGCCAAAGCTGCACAGTGGAAACAGGCCCTTGCCCTTTTCGATGAAATGCCGCAGAGAGGCTGGGCCTGGACGTGATTGTCATCAATGGTGACCCAATGGTATTTGGTTGCGCCCAAGCAACACCTCGGTCCAGTTGTTGCAGTGGTATGCTTTCCATTCCTCGTCTCCGACTCCTTACCCTCAGCATCAGAACTTTGCAAATTGCCTCTGAACCTTTTTACTTTTACACGGCAAACCTACAAACCACATTCATAGCGTGCACTGGCTTGCACTCTCATGGAGGTGCTCCAAGCTCCTGTATTGTCACAGGCTTGAAGCAAAACCTTCATGCAACAACAGCTGCAATCATCGCTGCAGGCGACTCATCTTCATGGATTTGGATGGTTTTGAGTTGTGACTTTGAGGGTCGGGACATCGTCAGGAACCCACACTTGCTTCTTGAAAATGAAAAGGACTTAGACACCAGAATGTGTTTTGCCAGTTGCAGGGTAGATGTTGCACAAATGGGCCAACCATGGACATCATCAGACAGACAAGCATGTCCAAGTGAATCTACTTGCGATAGCTCCGATAGCAGGGTCTAAAGCCGGCTGTTTTGAAGCGCCTGAGTCTTTTTTCTCCTCTTGTTTTGGTACCGTGAGGACATCACCAGTGCTGATCGACCCAGGATCTGAAACCGCCGTGAGTTTGTTGATCTCAAACGGATTTCAACTGAAATAACAATGGATTTAAATATATTTAAATGACATTCAGTTGATTTTTAATGGTTCTAAATGGAAACTCCAGCGCTTTTCACCGACGTGATGGATATGTTCAGCCTAAGGTCTGGGACATGGCTGGCCCCACTCCCTGTGGCTCCTGCAGCAGCTGGGCGTGAGGGCTCAGTGCAGGTGACCAGTCTACATCGACTCCATCACAAAGCAACCCACCACTTTGCTTGATGGATCTGTGACATTCAAAGGTGGCTTAATCCGATTCAATATATATTATATATATTATATATATATTATATATTATATATATAATATATATTATATATATTATATATATTATATATATTATATATATTACATATATAATATATAATATAATATATATATATATTATATATAATATATAATATATAATATATGTAATATATATAATATATATAATATATATATAATATATATATACTATATATATAATAGTAATAATAATAATAAAATTAATAATAATAATAACAATAATAATAATAATGCTGCTCAACGTCGCTGCTCAAAAGCTTTGGCCCCAGGCGTTGGCTCCTTGAGTTGTGCTTCTGTGTTGCCACAACTTATGCAACAATCACTAGACACTAGACTCACTAGACCTCTTCGCGCAGACTATGGAGTAGCAGTAACGGCCAAACTGCAAAGGATCACTTTATATTTTAATTTTATTGACCTTGGGTCATAGTTTTGTTTTGCATGGTTTTTCCCAACTATTCGCTTTACAATAATCACTATGGAACGCCGAGTTTCCATGGCTCCGGAGCGCATATCAGCGCTGATTGCGGAGCGCCAAGCGCTGCTGCTTATGAGGTCCACTGGTTCGGGAAGCTCCACTTCGATTGCAACGAACGATATGGGTTAATCGGTTAAACCGGGGCTTCTTTAAAAAATCCCAAAGGTTGTTTCTTTTCGCGGGAAAAAAATCGATGGAAAACTGTCTCCACCCTTATCCATTGATGCCCAGGTGCACTTGAGGCGGCTCACACAGGCACGCGATGAGGAGGCCTTGACCGCTGACATCGAAATGTTCAGGCCTCCCTTGACCGGGAGCCACCTTGGGACTGTTGACTAAGATTGTGATAGTTGATGACTGTTGATCGTTACTGATCGTTATTGGCAGTATCGGCTGACGGGAAATGAACCAACGGCATCTTGACGATGCACACTACATGTGATGCCAGAGGCTTGACCCAATTTCCTATTGCACACATACAAACTACATGCATGCAAGGCACTATGGAACCAGTCTATGTACCATGTGTTTTCACGTACTCCTTTCAGATGACGCTACAAGTCGTTTCTTCTAAACATTCTCTCCTTATCACACAGAAGAGTTGAGAGCACTGTCGACTGTTCCGTCCACTGATTGGCTCAATAGTTTGGGTTGCCCAGTATGGATTAGGCACAGCGGAGCGCAAAAGAGACGGCATTCTAAACTCTTCTACATTTCATGATCTCAGAAACCTAGCACAGTCCCAAAAAAGGTGACATACAGTAGCCATCAGAATCATCAGTAGCCTGACTGAAAGGAGATGTGAAAGATGTCGTGCATCATGGTGGCAGTGCCAGCACAGCCAGCAGTGCCAGCACTGCCAGCACCTTCGATCGCAAGGGTCACAGCAGGTTGTGCAGCCGCTGCAGCCGCTGCAGCCACGGCATTCCCATGGATCCCAAGGCAGCCAGCCATGGGAAGGATCCGGTGTCGTCCCTGTCGTCCCGGCAAGCAGCTTACTGCGGCTGCTCCTTGCTGCGCCTTGGTGGCATTCACACGCCGTGAGAGAAAGAGGGTGTCCCGGCAATGTGGCGATTCTCCTACGTTTGACACCAAGTTTTTGGTGTACATTGAGGACACAGACTGCTTTGGTGTTGTGTTCTATGCCAACTACTTTCGTTTTTTTCAGCGAGCTCTAAATGAACTGCATGATCTGCAAGGCAAAGAGAATCGAGCTGTCATTGTGGGAGTCACGCAGGCACGCTATCGAAGTGCTGCAAAGCTTGGCGATGTCTTAACAGTTCAGCTTTGGTTGGAGGAGGCCTCTTGCCTACAGATTTCTTGGAAATCATCCCATCCCCCAAATATTGTGTACCCCCATATGGCCCAATGCATAAATCCAATACTAAACCAGGGCTTCGCGGGGGTATTTTAATATTGTGTATAAGTTCTCTCTTTTGTAATTGTAGCCTGGCTTAGCCATAGCCGAAAATGCGATATTTGAGCAGCATCTTTGGTCAAAAAAAGGATGCGCAGCACCACCAACGATGGAAAGTGAGATCAGTTGCAGAAGTCGAGTGTGTCTCAGCTGAGCTTCTTGTTGTTCATGCAGCTCAAGACTTCTTGTCATCCAGGAAGTGGCCTGCTTTCGCTGGACAACCCCGAGCAACACTGGTGCCAGCACGAGAGGAGTGCGCATCCCCTCCATCGATCCATGATGTGCTTCGCTGGTTCGAGCGCTCTCGCAGCGACTTTCTTGGAGGGCCTAAAGCTTTGCAGCAAGTGATGGATCTTGGCATCCTTGTTGTTGTGGCGCGTATTGACGACTTTGAGTATGACACAAAACTGGTATATCTGGGGTCGGATGCAGTTGATTGGGAGGTCCGTTCTGTTCTGGACATCTCTAGAGGCAAACTGATCTTTGACGAGCGGCTGATCATGCAGCCGAACTCGGATTACGAAGTGGCGATCGCACGTGCAAACGTCACATGCGTCTGTATTGATGCGACAACACGTCGCATCACCCGAGCACCAAAGAAGTTGCTCGAATTGATTAAGTAAACAACCATGATTAAAACACAGTCTTTCCACATTGTCTTTGAAGAGAGCTTACTTTGCCAGTTTATCAAATCTGTGTCAGGCAGCCTTCCTTGCACAGCAAGCTGCTGAGCATCGTGCCAAGGTTCATGTGACCAGGACTGGCAACCCCAGCCCAGAGCCGTTTGAACCGCTAACTGAAAATGCAAACCCAAATTTGTAGTACACCAGGCCTTTGGTTAAGAGGTGGTTGTAGCTGACCAAGACATCGATTGATGAGTTATGAATAGACTAACATAGACCCGGGCAAGCCGGCGGCGGAAGTTTCCCAAACATAAATGACCTATAGTTCAAAGACAACCTGTCCCGACCGTGTCCTTCCCTCGACACTCCACACCTCACACTGCACACTGCACTCTTCGCACTCCAAACTTCAAACTTCACACTCCACACTTCACACTCCACACTTCTCACTTCTCACTGCTTCCTTCACACTCCAAACCTCACACTTCACACTTCACACTGCACACTTCACACTTCACAGTCCACACTTCACACTTCACACTTCACAGTCCACACTTCACACTTCACAGTCCACACTTCACACTTCACAGTCCACACTTCTCACTTCGCACTTCACACTTCACACTCCACATTTCACACTTCTCACTTCTCACTGCTTCCTTCACACTCCAAACTTCACACTTCACACTTCTCACTTCGCACTTCACACTCCACACTTCACACTCCAAACTTCACACTTCACACTTCTCACTTCGCACTTCACACTCCTCACTGCTTCCTTCACACTCCTAACTTCACACTTCTCACTTCGCACTTCACACTCCACACTTCACAGTCCACACTTCACACTTCTCACTTCTCACTGCTTCCTTCCCACTCCAAACTTCACACTCCAAACTTCACACTTCACACTTCTCACTTCGCACTTCACACTCCACACTTCACTCACACTTCACACTTCACAGTCCACACTTCACACTTCTCACTGCTTCCTTCACACTCCAAACCTCACACTTCACACTTCACACTGCGCTCTTCGCACTCCACACTTAAACTTCACACTCCACACTTCACGCCCCACACGTCCAACTGCTCTAAACTTACGTGCAACAAAAAAAACTAGCGCCAAAATGGAGAAAATCATAGGGCTTTGGGTCTGATGTCTGAAAAAAAAATGGCCCAGAAAGTCATACATTCAACAAACCACAAAACTCCAACCCATGCTGCACAAGGCATTGAGAGGATCTCAGTGAGAGCTTGCATTGACTCGCTCCCATGACAGCTTTGTTTTTTCACATGTATGCAATACGATCATGGTTGTTTGTGCGGTTCGTAACAACGCACACATAAACCAAAAGCAAGTGACAGAGGCATTCTGCGGTTCGCAAGGCTAAATGAAAGGCGAATCTACTGAAGGACAGCAATTCAAACTCGGATGCGGTTCATAACAACGCACACCCAGCCCTTGGCAGTCAAGCGAGAGTCGATCCCAATCGCTGATGGTGTCCTTGACCCATCAGCGACCAGCACGTCATGCACAACACATGGCCATCCAATGCCTGTGCAAAGTCAAGTGGTTATAGTGGTGAATTACAGGGATCGGACTATGGGAATTTATTACTTAAACTACGCTTGGCTTGTGCAACCGTGGCGTCTGCGTCCCATCCTCAAAGATAACATGTGCGACACAGGCAGCACATAACTGCATACCCGCGTGCGTGTCTTGTGAGAGGCCACGTGGTTGTAGTGGTGAACTACAGGGATCGGACAATGGTAATTAATCACTTAAACCACGTTGGGCTTCTGCAAGAGTGGCATGTGCGACCCTGTCCTCACAGACAACATGTGTCACACAGGCAGCACCTAACTGCATACCCGCATGCAAGGCCTGTGAGAAGACTACGAGTTGCTGCTCTAAAACAAGAATAATGGTGAGATTCACATCCTTATGATCTAAGACAATAATCATGTCCGCGGGCCAAAACACCGAACGAACAGTGGAACCACAAGTTGCTCACATGTCCAAAACAATTCTTTCTCAATTACTTGAAGCAGAAACATGTGTTAGCAATGGCATTTCTCGAATGCATATGTACCAAAAACACATCATGTCTGTTTCTGTTACCCATAACACATGCGTAGGCAACAAACATCATGTCTGTTTCTGTGAGCCATAACCGACCGACGTCTAACATTACTACTGAAGCCACAACCAGGGACACTAATGCCGTCACTTCTACTTCCCACTGTCATTACCTAAAAAGGGGCCAGTCCAAACAGTTACAATACTCATTGTCACTACAGTTACAGCCACAACGGTCATTGTCAAAGTAGTCTTTGTCATAGTATCTAAGGTCACAATGGAGAAAATCTGCTAACAAATCCATGTCGCAGCCTTCATGCAGCCACTCCAATACGATTTACGAGATCGAGCCGCAAAAGACAATAGTATGACAAATGCAGCCACAGCACGAAGCAACCTTGACGCAGCCATTACAATGCGATCTGCAGAGACTGAGTTGCAAAACACAATAGAACTACGCGCAACGGCGTCGGAAATTGTAGCTCCAAAACCGGATCTCGACGCCAGAGCGAAAAAAAGAAGATTTTGAAGCACTTTTTAAAAGGATTTTTAGAAGGAAAATCACTAGCGCCAAAATGGAGAAAATCTGCTGACAAATCACTGCGGCAGCCTTCATGCAGCCACTCCAATACGATTTACGAAGTCGAGCTGCAAAAGACAATAGTATGACAAATGCAGCCACAGCACGAAGCAACCTTGACGCAGCCATTACAATGCGATCTGCAGAGACTGAGATGCAAAACACAATAGAACTACGCGCAACGGCGTCGGAAATTGTAGCTCCAAAACCGGATCTCGACGCCAGAGCGAAAAAAAGACGATTTTGAAGCACTTTTTAAAAGGATTTTTAGAAGGGAAATCGCTAGCGCCAAAATGGAGAAAATCTGCTGACAAATCACTGTCGCAGCCTTCATGCAGCCACTCCAATACGATTTACGAGATCGAGCTGCAAAAGACAATAGTATGACAAATGCAGCCACAGCACGAAGCAACCTTGACGCAGCCATTACAATGCGATCTGCAGAGACTGAGTTGCAAAACACAATAGAACTACGCGCAACGGCGTCAGAAATTGTAGCTCCAAAACCGGAGGATCTCGACGCCAGAGCGAAAAAAAGACGATTTTGAAGCACTTTTTAAAAGGATTTTTAGAAGGAAAATCACTAGCGCCAAAATGGAGAAAATCTGCTGACAAATCACCGTCGCAGCCTTCATGCAGCCACTCCAATACGATTTACGAAGTCCAGCTGCAAAAGACAATAGTATTACGTTTGCAGCCAAAGCAGGAAGCAACCTTGCAATCCCATTTACATTGCGGGAAGGATACTACAGTTGCAAATCACAATGGAATTCCATTGGCAACTCATCCACCAGCACCACTTGCAATCCCATTTACAATGCGGGAACGATCCTACAGTTGCAAATCACAATGGAATTCTGTCGACCACACATGCACGAAAAACAGTTGACACCCCATTTACAATGCGGAACCGATCCGAGAATGATCCGAGACCGATCCGAGCATGATCCGACCACACACGAGACCGTCTCGCACCCGTCGCACCGCAGAGGTAGATCATCGAGGTTCGGGGACACACTTTGTATGGAAAAACATAGGGTTTCGTGCATCTGCTATCTCTCAAAAACGCATTTCGTGCGAGACTTCCTCCAAAACTCCATCGGCAACTCCTCCACCTGCACCTCTTGCAATCCCATTTACAGTGAGGGAACGATCCTAGAGTTGCAAATCACAATGGAATTCCATCGGCAACTCATCCACCAGCACCACTTGCAACCCCATTTACATTGCGGGAACGATCCTACAGTTGCAAATCACAATGGAATTCTGTCGACCGCACATGCACGAAAAACAGGTGACACCCCGTTTACAATGCGGAACCGATCCGAGAATGATCCGCCCATGATCCGAGCATGATCCCACCACACACGAGACCGTCTCGCAACCGTCGCACCGCAGAGGTAGATCATCGAGGTTCGGGGACGGACTTTGTATGGAAAAACATAGGGGTTCGTGCATCTGCTATCTCTCAAAAACGCATTTCGTGCGAGACTTCCTTCAAAACTCCATCGGCAACTCCTCCACCAGCACCACTTGCAATCCCATCTACAGTGAGGGAACGATCCTAGAGTTGCAAATCACAATGGAATTCCATCGGCAACTCATCCACCAGCACCACTTGCAATCCCATTTACATTGCGGGAACGATCCTACAGTTGCAAATCACAATGGAATTCTGTCGACCACAAATGCACGAAACACAGGTGACACCCCATTGACAATGCGGAACCGATCCGAGAATGATCCGAGCATGATCCGACCACACACGAGACCGTCTCGCAACCGTCGCACCGCAGAGGTAGATCATCGAGGTTCGGGGACGGACTTTGTATGGAAAAACATACGGTTTCGTGCATCTGCTATCTCTCAAACACGCATTTCGTGCGAGACTTCCTTCAAAACTCCATCGGCAACTCCTCCACCAGCACCACTTGCAATGCCATTTGCATTGCGGGAACGATCCTACAGTTGCAAATCACAATGGAATTCCATCAGCAACTCATCCACCAGCACCACTTGCAATCCCATTTACATTGCGGGAACGATCCTACAGTTGCAAATCACAATGGAATTCTGTCGACCGCACGTGCACGAAAAACACTTGAAACCCCATTTACAATGCGGAACCGATCCGACCATGATCCGACCATGATCCGAGAATGATTTGACCACACACGAGACCGTCTCGCCCCCGTCGCACCGCAGAGGTAGATCATCGAGGTTCGGGGACGGACTTTGTATGGAAAAACATAGGCTTTCGTGCATCTGCTATCTCTCAAAAACGCATTTCGTGCGAGACTTCCTCCAAAACTTCATCGGCAACTCCTCCACCAGCAC